GCCCCTTTCCCACTTGGGCTAAAATTACCCATACTACCCACATTGGGCAGGAATGGGGACTTTGCTGGGACTTCCCTGGGAAGCAGCAGGGACTTGCCTGACTTTTTATTTCTCCAGATTGGAGGCTGAGCCATCGGGGCAAGGCAGGTGGTGGGAGGAAGTGAACTTGATAGAGTTCCTTAGCACCCCAGTCTGGAGTGGGAGAGTGCCCCGCCCAGCAAAGCAAACTGGGCACTGACCTCAGCCACAATGGCCCGGGGTGGGGGGCAGTAGAGAACAACTGCCCCACTGACAATAGTCCCTATGTGTGGGGCCGGGGGAAGCCCCTGCAGAGCTCAGTAGAGGACACAGGCCACTCTCCTAGGCTTCCTACCGCGAGGCTGGGTGTAGTGACTACTTTTTACTCTTCGATCTTTGGCTGTTTGGGGGCCTGCCACCCGTATCTCCCAAATAAATACACAGAGTCTTATTCTTACTTATTAATGCCCAGCCTTAGCTTGGTTTGTTTCTAGCCAGCTTTTCTTAAATTAGCCCATCTACCTTTTGCCTCTGGGCCTTTACCTTTCTGTGTTTCTTTACTTCTGACTCAGTGTCTGGCTGGGTGGCTGGGTGGCTGGCCCCCAGCATCCTCTTCTCCTTCTTTTCTCAAGCCTCCATCTTTTTCTCCTTCTATTTATTCTCTCTCCCTGGCATCTCTGCCTATCCCTCTCCTGCCTAGCTATTGGACGTTCAGGTCTTTATTAGACCAATCAGGTGTTTTAGACAGGCAGAGTAACACAGCTTCACAGAGTTAAACAAATGCAACATAAAAGAATGCAACACATCGTTGTATCATTAAACAAATGTTCCACAGCATAAACAAAATGTAACACATTTTCAACTAGTGTTTCAGTACAGCTGAGAGGTGGGGCTGGCACCAGGGCCCAGAGCTCAACCTGAACTCTATCTCCAATCATGCTTCTGGCTGCTGGACCAGGAATGGCTCTCCTACCTGACTGGCCTTAGCTTCCTTAGCTTCTCACTGAGAATGTTAGCAGAGTCTCCATCCCAGAATCGCTGTGGTAACGTCGAGCTCAGCTGGATGAAGGGTGCCACGCTGGCCACTATCACTGCTGCCCACAGGCTGGGGGATCCCTCATTCCCAGTCACACCCCCATGTCCCCAAGCACCAGAGGCGCACAATATCCTCCTGCCTCAGAAAGGAGGAAGTTAGAAGAGAGGCAGACACCTCTGGGGGGCATCTCAGACAGGAAGGCATCCCCGACTAGGGTTCCTGTGTTTCTCTAGGGGGAAGTGGAGTCAACTAGCCTCCTCGGCATCACTCTTACAGGGATAGAACGGTTTGTTTCTCTGGGTTTTGTTTTTTTTCGAGACAGGGTATCCTGGAACTCACTCTGTAGACTAGGCTGGCCTCGAACTCAAGAGATCTGCCTGCCTTCTGCATGTGTCACCACTGCCTGGCTGTGTTTGATTTTCTGTGGCATCCATCACATGTGGGGAGGTGACACACCTAAACATCTGGAGCAACCTGAGTGGTTCTGTAAGCTCCTGGGGTGGCTCAGGGTGAGATAGACCTCACTAGGGTTTCACCTGCCCAGCCCTGGCTCTCCACAGTGCCTTGGCCAGCCATACCCAGGTTTCTCCTGTCATACTCATAAAACATTTGTAATAATTTGTAGTCCTAACAATTTATTGTCGTGTTGCTCTTACAGTTTTCCTTTAAGTTCCCGAAGAATCGTGGCATGATGCTGGTTTACATCAGTTGGCACAGATACAAGGGTCCCTGTAAGCCAGTTCTGCCTGCTTATGCCCTAGATAAACGGTGCATCACATGTCTAATCTGACTGAGGTCAGAGCATGCGCAGAGTCGGTGTGGCACCCTTGCTAGGCATCATTTGTCATGACGGATCCTGGCAAATGGAACTGCCTTTTAAACCTGGAAAGGTTGGTGAGTTTGGCACCTTCCGGATGAAGTTCTTCGCAGTTTCTGAGACAGTTGCGTGTGTTTAGTGTGACAGCAGTGAGGGTGTGCGCAGGACCACTGTTATCTTCAGGACAAGACCTCAGGGCAGCATACAGGGCTGCTCATGAAGGCATCCTTATCCTAATTCTCAAAGTCCCCCTTCCTGGGTATGACGGAGACAGAGGAGGTTCCCAGAGTCCTTACTGATGGCCGCCATACGTTCTCGGAGCCACCTCCAATGCTCATGAAACAGTGACACTTTGACACAATACAGAACTTGGGTGAGGCCGGGAGTGTGGGCCTACTGTGTGCAGCACTGTCAGATGGGGAAGAAGTGGGAGCCCAGTGACTCTGTTGGGTTGAGAGAAGGTTCCAGACAAGACAAAAAGGTCAGAAGGAATTGAGACCTCACCCATTCTGATGTGGTATACCACAAACTAGAGCCTGCCTTCTGGACCCGTCACCTCCATGCTGGGTTTGCAAAGTCAGACAGGAGGCTGTGCCACATCCCCATGTCAGAAGGGCACATACGTGACTCCCAGGTCACAGGTGTCATGTGACAGAGCTGGGGTGGTCCAGAAAGTGCAGCCCCCTTGTGCAGTTTCTATCTGGGCTCATGTCAGCACTTGTCCCGGATCCAGGGACAGGTCAGGAACAAATTGTAGCCTTGGCTGCTCCCTGTCCTCATTCTAGAGAAGTCCCAGAGTGGATACCAGCTATGAACTCCCACAGTCCCACCCCAGTTCTGAGTCAGGAGTGGGGAAGATGCCATCTTGTCAGATGCTAGACCCAGGACCAGTGAGCACAGCGAGGGGTCACCTTTTCTCTGTGGCAGCCAGGCGTATGGTGCAATGTATTCCCCGCAAGGTGTTCCCAGGCCGGTGCCGGTGTTTCCCTGGGTGGGGAGAAAGTCAGTCCACAGTTGCCAAGAGGAAGCAGTAGTGGAGGAGAGGCTCTGGAGCTGGCAGGGACACCTGGGGGCCCACACCCCTTTCTCCAAGGAGTCCAGGAGTCCCTGCTCACCAGCTCCTCTTTGCAGAATGACACCCCCACACACACATACCCCCCATCCACTGCTCAGATCATGTCCTAGTCCATCCTCTAGGCAGTGGACAGGGCTCTCTGCAGTAGCAGTCTCGATCACCATGTGGGTGGGACCTGATGACTCTCCTTCCTTCTTAATTCCTCCAGTTCCCTCAGCCCTATGGTCAGCCATTTTCTTATGCTCTGAGCCTCCTTATCTTGTAGAGCCTAAGTGTAGACATGGGGTCCCAGCCTCTCCGGGGGAACTTCATGGTGACTCTTATCTGTTCCCATTGAAATTTCTGTTTCTAAACACAGTCACCTTCCCAGCTCTGAGGACTGCCCAGGAGCACCTCCCAGCAGCCTCCAGGGCCAGAGCCTGGGTGACGCTGCACCCTCCAGCTAGCTTTCACCTGGCCAGGCCCCGCCTTCTTCCATACCTGTGTGACAAGAGGTGTGTCTGCTGGATGGGAGCCTGGAGCCTGAGTTACCTAGGTAAAGGGATCCTCTGGCTACCTGACTCACCAGATCCCTGGCCAGCTCTCAGGTTCCTGCAAATTTTTCATGCTTCAAACAGCCCCGCTCCCTCCCTAATATCCCTAATGCACAGTGGTACCGGTGCAGGTGCCTGGTGTCATAGAATCAGTCTTCCAGAGCAATTAGGTCACCTGTGACTGCATGCAAGCCCTGTCCTCAGTAGGGCCCATTGACAGCTGATGTTTCGTCATAGGAGGGGGGTGGGAGGGTCTTTAGACAGGCACCTGACATTCCAGCTACTCAGCTCCAGCCATTTGTGTGTCATTTTGCCCTAATTGCACATGACTCTGGGAGGTTCTAGAGTATACAGGCCAGGGAGTTTATTGGAAGGGAGCTGTCTATGAAGCTACGGGGAAGGCAGCATCCATGACAGGTATAGACTTTCCAGTGTTTCTGCTTTGGGGCCACCTATGTTCTGTAAGTAATCCCCCCCAAAAAATTCATTGATTTCTCTGGGATGACTTTGGTGGAATTGTACTTTATTTGGTGCTGGAGCCTTATAAGGAAGGGGTAACTATGTTTTGTTTTGTTTGAGACAGGGTAGCTCTATGTAGCCCTGGCTATCCTAAAATTCAGCGTGTAGACCAGGTTAGGTTGGATTTCTTTGCCAATTTCTTAACCAGGCCACAGAGGAAACCACTCAAGGGTTGGTGGTCTGGAAACCCCAGAGCCAGAACCAGGAGGAAAGCCCCAGACCAGGTGGCCAGGGGAGGGAGGTGGGGAAGGAGGGACACCACCAGGCTGTGGGGGGAAGGGCTTCTCAGCCGGCAAAGTAGGGGGAGGCTGTGGAGAGGTGGGGGTGGGGAGGGGGCTCCTGGCAGTCCCACAGATGCAAGGCTGGTTATTTGGTCTTGCAACCAATTTCTTTTGAAAAGAATTTCTTCTTTCCTTCCTCCCTCCCTCTGTCCTTCCTTCCCTCCTCCCTCTTTCCTTCCTTCCTCCTCCCTCCCTTTCCTCCCCCTCCCTCTGTTTCATCACCTTGCTACATCTGGTTTAATTTTGTGTGTGTGTAAGTACGCCTAGATGCATGCACACGTGCACATATACATGTGGAGGCAGGACAACCTCATGTGTTATTCTTCAGATGACGTCTTTTTTCTTCCTTCCTTTCTTTTCCTTCCTTTCTTTCTTTCCTTCTTTTCTTTCCTTGACAGTGTCATGGGTCTGAACTTTCCAGGGACACTAAGTTGACTAGCTGGCTTTTGAGCCCCAGAGAGCTGCATGGGTCTACTTGTCTCCACTTGTCCGGCACAGATTACAAGCCTGCACCACCATGCCTGGGTTCAGGCTCCCATAAGCCTGCACCACCATGCCTGGGTTCAGGCTCCCATAAGCCTGCACCACCATGCCTGGGTTCAGGCTCCCATAAGCCTGCACCACCATGCCTGGGTTCAGGCTCCCATAAGCCTGCACCACCATGCCTGGGTTCAGGCTCCCATAAGCCTGCACCACCATGCCTGGGTTCAGGCTCCCATAAGCCTGCACCACCATGCCTGGGTTCAGGCTCCCATAAGCCTGCACCACCATGCCTGGGTTCAGGTTCATGCTTGCCAGGTGCTCTCTCCTCCCACCACCGACCCAGGGTACCAACCGTGAATGGATAGCAGAGCCCTGACACTGTCACCAGCTTAGCCCCGATGTGAAGAGTCCACAGAATGCCATTCCCAGCAAGTCAGAGAATGCCCTATTGACCATCCCTCTGCCAAGTTAGTCCCACAAGTTCCATTCAGACTGTGTGCTCCCCAGCCCCAGCAGACCCGCCTACCCTTCCTGTCCCTGGCCTCGCTCTGAGTCACCTCCAGCCTGAAGTAATCAATTCTGAGTTAGCCTCCCAAGGAAGGAAGAGTTCATAGTACAGAGTCTGCGAGGTCACAAAGCCAAGTGTATTTTTTCTGTTGCCTTAACAACCGTAACACAGTGGCCTTCCAGAACCATAAGTTTGGCTTTTGTGGGACCTCTGACCATCCTCGTGGCAGCTGCCACAGTTCAGCCCCAGAAACGGGAGTCTCACTGGCTTAGTCTCACTCGTTAGTTGCTTTTTTCACGACCCAGCTGTAACAGTTACCTAACAAAAGCAACTTCCGGAGGGACAGGTTCGGCTTTCCAAAGCGCTGGCTCCTTCTGAGGGTGTAGTCTACCATGGGGAAGACTTGGTGGCAGGAGAGGGAGGTGGCTGTCCATGTTTCCTTGAGTCAGGAAGCAGAAAAGGAAATGCTGGTGTTCAGCTCTCTTTCTCCTTTTGATCCAGTCCAGGAACCCAGCCAGCGGAATGGTTTCACTCATATTCAGGGCACGTCTTCCCACCTCTTTACGTTTTTCTGGAAAAGCTTTCACCGACAGAGGGGTGTTTTCATGGTCATCCTAAATCTCATTAAGTCAACAATGAGATCTGATCTCAACAACTTCACCTTTTGTTAGTATCAGACACCAAAACACATCACTTTGATTTTTATTTTGTTTTATTTCATGTGTATGAATGTTTTGTCTGTGTACCTTGTGTGTGCTGTGCTTGTGGAAGCCAAGGGCTTGGGTTCCTTAGAACTGGACTACAGACGGTTGTGAGCCCCTACGTGGGTGCTGGGAACTGAACCCAGGTCCTCTGTAAGAACAGCCAGTGCTCTTAGCCACTGAGCCATCCTACCAGTCCATAGTCTTTAACAATCCCAACAATAATCAAAAGTCCAAAGTCTCTTCTGTGAGCACCTATTAAAAATATGTTTTAAAAGTTACTGCTTGCTGGGCGGGGGTGGCACACGTCTTTAATCCCAACACTCAGGAGGCAAAAGCAGGTGGATCTCTGTGAGTTCAGAGACTATCCTGGTCTACAAGAGCTAGTTCCAGGACAGCCTCCAAAGCCACAGAGAAATCCTGCCTCGAAACCCCTTCCCTGCAAAAAAAAGTTACAGATTTCCATATTTGACGTCACAGAATAAATATTCCCATTGCCAAGTCTAGACCTGTACTTGGCAGGGGAACTCCTCAGCTTCACAGGTGGCTGCTCTGCTTCTGATAGGATCTTGAGTGTGTGTGTGTGTGTGTGTGTGTGTGTGTGTGTGTGTGTGTGTGTGTGTGTGTGTGTTTTCAAAAGATGTTCCGGGCTGGGCATTGGTAGCACACACCTTTAATCCAAGCACTCGGGAGGCAGAGGCAGAGGCAGGCGGATCTCAGTGAGTTTGAGGACAGCCTGTTCTACAATGCAAATTCCAGGACAGCCAGGACTGTTATACAAACTCTGTCTCTGTGGTTGGGGGAGGGTGGTGGAAGCCGGAGGGGGTGTTGAAAAGGCACTGCACCCTTCCCTTCAGAGACAAAGATCCCAAGAAATGGAATTTCCCTAGGAATCTCATGCTGGGGAAGGAAAAGGCTGAATCCTGGTGCCACCCAGAAGGGAATTTGTCTGCCAGGAAGAGATTTCACACCATGTTGACAACTTCTCAGGCCACCTTACTGGAAGGGCTGGAGCCCAGACAATGAAGATGACTACAGTAATGGGCTGGGCGGGACCACACCTCCGACCAAGACTGCTTAGCTGTCTTACCTTCTATTTAAACCTCATGTCAGGATCCCAAAGATGGACTGGAGGAAGGGGGAGGGTGGGTCACTGGACCTCTTTGTTCCTCTTCTTGATGTGACCACACTGATCAGATCTCTTTTTCTGCTTTCCACTGTGACTTTGTCTCTTTAATTGACCTGTTGAAGTTGAGTGCCCAGTGCTGGTATTTAGGGACTGTGACCTTAACAAGTCTGATGACAACTGGGCAAGTCGTGGCTGGGAGAAAAGACTCATTTTGTCAGCAGGTTGACCCCAGGTGGAGAGGAAAGATTGAAGAGTCCCACACGGTTGCTGGAGTCACTTTATCCCAAGGACTTCTCCCATCTTCCCACACTCCAATTTGTGAAGGAGATGAGAAACTGGATTATGTTTTGGATTCTTGGTGAGCCAGCCAGCTCCACCCCTCACCCCCCCACCAGCCATGCCCTTCCACCGCCCCCCCCCAAACCTCCCAGTTTGCCTTCCCTTCAGCTTGGGGCTTCTCACAATTAATTCAGGTCTTTGAATCTGTTTATCTAGGATGGTGGCAGAGCATGGCTTGTAGGGATTGCCTGAGTCCCGTAACACTTTGTGAGTCGTTGTTACCGATTGCCGTTTGGTTCCTGGCTTTGTCTTTCAGAGTCCTGCCCAGACATTTGTGGTTCCGTGGGGCCGACTGGGCTATTAGGCTATGATGTGACAGGCCTTGTCAGTTTGGATGGCTTTGCAGCCCTTTGAGCCCTTGGGTGCTGCTGAGCAATGAGAGTGTGGAGGAGACATCTGCTGTGACACACGGAACCCTGAGGAGCACTGTGTTACTCTCTTGGTGCCTTTGGTGCCCCAGGAGAAAATCCTATCTGGCCAGCCTTTTGTAAACTCAGAATAGCATCTGAGGCAGTGCAGGGTAGTGTGGTTCTCAATCTCGTGAGAACAAACATGTGGCCCTCTTAATTTTGCATTCATTTTTTAAAACATTGCTCATTATTTTTGGTATGTCTCGTTAAAAATATGTGTGTGCGATATGAGTGTTTGGAGGGTGATTTGTTTGTTTGTTTTGTTTCTTTTAAGACAGGGTTTCTCTGTGTAGCCCTGGCTATCCTAGAACTTGCTCTGTAGACCAGGCTGGCCTCAAACTCAGAGATCCTCCTTTCTCTTCGTGTGCCACCATTGCCCTGCTGGAGGGTGGCTTTTTTTTTTTTTTGACCACATTAAATATAGTAGCCTTTGCCTCTGTCTTCACTTGTCCTCATCTGAAAAAGTAAATAGATAAAACATAGTAAATTAAGGAATTAATTATGAGACTGAAAAGAAAACGAATCTAACAAGACTTCACTAAAGACCTAAGTGTATAAGCTGACAACGTGACTGCTCCATGGTATGGTAAGGGGTCAGTTTTTATTGTAGATATTTGGGGAAGACTGACTGAGCATGGCAGTGGACTGGACAAGGGTAAGAGTATCTTCACGAGAAGGGAGAGAGTAACAGGAGACAGAGAACAGAGGCAGCGTAGTGAGAACAGCACTATTTTAAAAGTCGGTGTTGGAGAGAAAGACACCAGCTTGGGTGGAGGGGTTTTTTATTGAGGGAAAGTGAATGGGAAAGGGGGGGAGGAGGACTGGCCTCTGGGGACAGGAGCAGCTGAAGAGAAAGTGGGGGAGGGACAGAGTCAGAGAGAAGAGAAGAGGAAAGGAGAGGAGGAATGGGGGAGGAAGGGATGGAGGGAGAGGGAGAGAGGGGAGATGGGAGGTGGGCAGGGCCCTTTGAAAAGGGAAAGTCATGAATGTGCACAGTGGTGCTCTCAGTGGCCGCAGCTGGGGGCGAATCCTGTCAGAACCCCAAGGCCAGGCCAGTACAGATGCCTGAACACTAACAGCAGGAGCCTAGATTCCTGAGGGTGAGTAGCTGGGTGGGGGCTTTGAAATGTGTAACGATTACTTGTGAGCAGGAACTGAGAGAGCCTTGATACATATAGTATAGGTTAATTGGAGACGCATAGGTCACTGTTGTTGGAGGTAAGGGAAATGACTCTGAAGAATGCTGGATTTTATCTAGCCACCAGAAACCCTCCTGTAGTCCAGGCTGAGCTGTGCAGCAGGCTTTCTTAGTCCACCAGCCCCCAAATTATGACGTGGAGACTTATTAGTCATGAATACTCAGCCTTATCTTACGCTTGTCCATCTAGCTCTTATAGCAGTTGAACCTGTTTCTTTCCATCTACATTTTGCCCTGGGGCTTTTCACCTTCCCTTCCTCCTTTCCTCCCTCCCTCCCTCCATCTTTCTTTTTCTTTCTTACATCCTGCTTTTCTTGCTTCCTCCTTGTCTGACTGGTGGTTGCCTGGTTGGCTGGCCCAGGCCAGGGCATCTCTCTTTCTCCCTCGTTCTCTCTTCCTCTCTCTCAAGTCGAGATTCCTCCTCCTATTTACTCTATCTGCCAACCCTGTCTGTCCCTCTGCTGCCTAGTTATTAGACCAAGCAGGTGCCTTAGGCAGGCAAAGCAACACATCTTTACAGAGCTGGGTCTAGATTCAATTTTCGATGAGTCAGGGAGCTGCCCCAAATGTGTGTGTGTGGGGGGGGGGGAGTGGTACCCTTTGGATCTGACACTAACTAAAATATGAACTAAGGAAATTCACTTGGGAGACTCCCTTCCTGCTTCAGGGAGCTGTTACTGTTCCTCTTAATAAAACTTTGATTTCTTAAAAATAAAATCAATAGCCAGATATGGTGTCACACTTTATCCAAGCACACAGGAGGTAGAGGTAGGAGGATCTCTGTGAGTTTGAGGATAGCCTGGTGTACGTAGTGAATTCCAGGACAGTCTAGACCACACAGAGAAGCGTTGTCTCAAAGAAAAAGGAAGGAACGGGTTTAGGGGCTGGCAAAGTGGCTCAGCAGATCCAGGCGCTTGACACCAAGCCTGTCGTAGCGACTAGATTCTCAGAACTCACGTGGCAAATGGGAAAACCAACTCCCACGAGTTGTCCTGTGACGTCCAGATGCACACTGTGATACACACACACACACATGTGATCAGAAATTCACAAGTGAAGACATTTTATTTATTATTTATTTATTTAGAGACAGGGTTTCTCTGTGTAACAGTCCTGGCTGTCCTGGAACTCACTCTGTAGACCAAGCTGGCCTTGAACTCAAGAGATCTGCCTGCTTCTACCTCCTGAGTGCTGAGATTAAAAGCCTGTGTCACCACTACTGCCCGGCCATAAAATTTACTTTTTAAAACATAACCAGCAGTATTCGCAAACCGGCAGTTATTAGACTCCGATTCTCTGTTGTGTGACTAAAGTTGACATTCTTGTATTGTGGTGGAAGGACAGTGCAGGGCTTCCTCCATCTTGTATTCTTGCTGAGGTCTTGTTCAACTGTAGTGGGCTACTGAACCATAGTTATGCTGTCTCTGAAACTATTCCTGAGAAACTTTAATTGCCAAAGCTGTCTTGGGTACACTGGTCTCTGGTCCTGTAGACCAGCCACAGCCTCACTGGTCACATAGAACAGCCATAAATCCCTATACAATGTGACCCTGACCTAAAGGTTAACTGCCTGACCACTACCCCTGCTGTATGTTTCTGTAAATGCTTGCTTGCTGCAGATGTCCAGAGCTGCATGCATACATACATACATACATACATACACATACATACATACATCACAATTGTTATTTTTGCCTTTAAAAACTCAAACCAATTGGGGGTTGTGGCTGCTTCCTGACGTTCTGCCTAGGACAGTCCCATCAGCAGGGAATAAAACTTGGTATAATTGGACTTATTCAGCCCTCAGGCAGTTTCATAATTGGATGCCCCAGTACCTTGCCTTAGCTTCTGTAAACCTCCCCTGCAGCTGTAGAGTGGTATTTCAAGACATGGATTTTGCCTTTAAAAGCCTTGGGGCTACACTTGGGTCCCCCAACACTTGGGACTTATTGTAGTTACAGCTGGCTGGAATAAAGACTTTCAGTTGGCTAGAATCTAAGAGTGGTCATCTCTAGTGGGCAGCCCCTAACAGTTTGTAACAAAATGTCCCATGACCCACGAGTAACCATCAGACACCATTAGCGGTATCACCTCCTTTTATTTTCCAGGTATGTTCTTGATGAGCATGCAGTGATTACATCTATAAGTGCCCTCCATGATATAAGCAAGGATGCAGAGAAGCCACTGAACCGTCCAATCCATTGGGTGGGAAACAAGGTTTTTATTATAGATAAGCCTCTTGGGTTATAAAGAAAAACCAGTAGCTTCAGAGTGGGGGAAGGGGATCCTGTGAACTAGAACAACCTGGAAGTTTAAGGTCATGGGGAATGGGCTTGGGGGTGAGGGCTGGAGGGGCAGGCAGTGGCTTTGGTATGCCCCATTGGTATCAACAGGCACCAGAGGAATCTGGAGCTTAGGCTTGGCTTTGGTATGCACCACAGGTTCACCTCAATAGTGAAACCCATTTCACAGATTCCTGGGGAATGATGAGAATGAGTGCCACCAGCAATCATATAGTCCAGCTTGTGCTGAGCCAAGACTGTCATTTTAGACCAAGTCAGTGGGCCTGCTGTTTTTTTTGCGAGTGTTTGGTGTTTTTTCTTTGAACCTAACAAATGACTGGGCTATAGTGTATAAGGTATAAATGTATAAGACTTATTGAAAAATAGGTCTCATAAGAAAAGATTTTGTGTTGTTGTGTCCAAATTCTGAAACCCCAAAACCACCAAGAAGCCCATTTCGATGCAAAAGCAAAGAGTCTTTTATTGTTGTTTAACAAGCTATCCCCTTTAGCTAGGGCCTTTTACCCATTCACAGTGGTGGATGGCTAGAGAAAGACCCCAACAAACCACAAGGCAGGGACCTTATAGGGCATCGTAAGGGGTACGCAACAGTCTCAGGATTGGCGCACTTCTGGGCTTGGGCAACCTGTCCTGTGTTGATTGGCCAACTGGTTGTTATGGCCCATAGGCCCTCCCAGGGCAGTTGCTATGCTCTGCACCCCACCAGCTAACTTCTGATTGGTTCCTTGCCAGGGCATCTGACCTCTTAGTCACTGGGGCCGACCCAGCAAGGTCAGACATGTGCTGCAGAGGCCTACATGTCTTTTCTGCAGCCTGTCATGGGCTGGTCCCTTCAGTGAAATGCACCTGACCATAACTAAAATACTGTCTCAAGGGTTCTTAATGCTTTACCTTCAAAGTGATTAAGTTCTCTGAGGCTGTTGATATGAGAGATTAGGAGGTAGACAGACCTCCCTGGTAGTGGTCATGTATCGAATTTCCAAGATGGCCGTCTTCCTCATTCTCCTGACTTGAGACAGAAGCCTGATAGCTTAAAACGAAGGTCTTGCAGACTCCGAGTTCCACTGGCAGCCGCTCTGCTGATGGTCTGGTTCGACAAGTCCAAGGCTGGACCAACATGACACATAACAGTTCTGGGCCAACCAACCATCCTAGCTTTCTTCAAACTGACCAACCCTGAATTGGGGTGGGGGTGACTCTACAGAGGCTTCAAACCCCCGGCCCTCGGGAAGAAGTTGGGTTTTATGGCTTTCTGAGCTCCCCCTCTACTTTGCACAGTGGGGATGTGGCAGGCAGCCCTAACCTGATGGCACCGTGTTTCTGCCTGCCCAGGAATGAACTGCTCTATCCCAGTCATTAGAGTGCTCATAGCAGAGCTAGGATTTACACAGGTCCCCTGTGATGACTAACGAGACTTTATAGGGAGCCAGGCATCCCTTACGGGCCATTGACCTTTTCCCTGGAGTGCCTGGGAGATCCTCCTGGCCTGCAAGCGAGATAAGAACAGGATAATGTGCTATGAAGCTTTGGCCACTGTCTTTGCTTCTGTAAGACCTGCTTATCGCTATGGGAAAGTGATGGAATGGCCTTTTTATTACTATATAGCGGGAAAGTGAGGAACAGCCGAGGAAGTAGACCAGTTTCCTGCCCAGCTGTGGGTTCCATGGATAGTAGTAACACACACCTTTCTGATGTCCCCTTTAGAACCCCATCTTACTCCCCACTTCCTCGAGGTCTGCAGCTTGGCTCTAAGGCTAGGGTCCTTCTGCAAGCAGTAAGAATAAATTCATGTAATCTGAATCTGAACTGAGGCGAAGTCTCGGATTCCTCCCAGTGGATTCGAACGCCACAACACAGAGGGTCTTTTTCTCTGTGCTCTGTATATTTGTGTGCGCATGTGCATGAGCTTGTTTCCTCGTGCTCAAGAAATGTCTTTCTCCAACTGCTGATTGAGTCTTTGGTGCTTGCGGTCTCTCTGCTGCCATTTGCTGCCCTCCAGATTTCCCCTGCTGTTTAATTATTTAACTGGCAGAGAAAACGAACCCAACCAGCATCCCCAGACTGTATTAGATATGCTTTCACTACAATAGGAAAGGGTCAACTTTAAAATACATAGCAGCACACGCCTTTAATCCCAGCACTCGGGAGGCAGAGGCAGGTGGATCTCTGTGAGTTCAAGAACAGGCTCCAAAGCAATACATAAAAATCCCATGTCGGAAAACCAACCAACTAACCAAACAAAACCACTAGAATGTAACACTGGGTTTCTTGTTACTTTTGTTTTAACAGAATCCATGTCATTTGAATGTCTGTGAAGACTACAATCTGTTAATAGTCGAACAGTACTGTTTACGGGGGACTGTCACACATATGGGATGTACTTACACATCAGGTGCACTATGAGAGCATGTGTTATGTAACAGGAAGATAAACAACTCAAGTAGTTTCAGGAAGTCCCTGAAACTGACCAGACACACTAGGCTCCTCCCTGCCAGAGTAAGCAACAAAAGCAATTATCATCCCCCCCCCCCCGCTCCTTCAGACAGAAGGAAGCTGAGCTGCGAAGACTCTCAGACAAGCAATGCTGTAAGACAACTCATTCAGCTGCCTGGAAGAGGCAGAAACCATCCTAGTTGCCTGCAAGAGGCTTAGACCAGAATCGCCTGGAAAGGACCATCTCCAACTGGTTGAGCTGCCTGCAGGCTACAGTGTGCTCCAGGTCCCCCAGCCTTGTGAGCTGTCATCCGCGCTGGAGTGGACTTTGGTGATGCAACTGTCTTTGAGCCATTTCTGCTCCTGTAAGGACCCCTCACTCACCCTACTGTAAGCAGCCCAAATAAAACCCATTGGTTCACCAAGTTGGACTTTGGTGGTACCTGTACTTTGGCCTGTTCCTATCCACCCTATCTGGGGTGAATAGATGTGAGCATTGCCTTTCCCCTGGAAAAGTCTTGTCACTCAACAGCATAGATCTTCTACTTTAAGAGCTGGTACTCAGATCATGTGCACCACATATTTCTGCACTTAGACCCCTGAGACAAAGGGACAGTCCCTGCTGAGAGCACACATCTCTACTGACTGAGGGGTGTCGGGGAAACAGGGTCAGTCCCCCAAAGATATAAAAATCAGAGTATGCCTTCGATGGGTATCTCTGAAAGCTCCACCCCTACCCCAAGCATCTTGCTTTCATGGAATTCTGCCATACTCTTACTTCAGGCTGCTTCTCATAATGGTCTCACAATGCCTATGTATACACACACACACACACACACACACACACACACAGAGAGAGAGAGAGAGAGAGAGAGAGAGAGAGAGAGAGAGAGAGAGAGAGAGAGAGAGAGAGAGAGAGTTTATTAGGCTGGCTTACAGGCCGTGGTCCAGTTAATCCAACAATGGTTGTCTACAAACTGAAGTCCTTAAGAATCTATTTCAGTCCACAAGGCTGGATGGATGTCTCAGTTGGTCTTTAGTATACACCAGAATCCGGAAGAAGTCGGCTCTAATGCCAGTGAAGGGAGACACTTGCCAGCAAGAGCAAGCAGGCAAAGAAAGCAAGCTTTCTTCTCCCATGTCCTTAGCAAAGAAAGCAAGCTTTCTTCTCCCATGTCCTTAACGTAGGCTGCCAGCAGAAGGTGTGGCCCAGACTAAAGGTGTGTCTTCCCACTTCAAGAGATTTGGATTAAACGTGGGTCTCCCCACTTCAAATGATTTAACAACAACAAAACAAAAATCCCTCACAGGTGTCCCCAGCTGTTGGGTTTAGTTCAAGTTGACAACCAAGAACATCACAGCCATCATAGCCAGGAAGCACTCTCTTCATAAAGCCCATTTCTGAAGGGTAATTGGTGTCACTTCCTACATCACCACACGGTGATAGGTCTGGTGTGGTCACTGGGGCTGTTTTCAAAACTCATTAGAATGTGAGTGGCCAAAATCAGTTTGAAATTTTGCTTTTTCTTTCCCAGCTTTTTGTTTGGTTTTGGTTTTTGTTGTTGTTGTTTGGTTGGTTGGTTGGTTGGTTGGTTGGTTGGTTGGTTTTGGTTTCTTGAGACAGGGTTTCTCTGTGGCTTTGGAGACTGTCCTGGAACTCACTCTGTAGACCAGGCTGGCCTCGAACTCACAGAGATCCTCCTGCCTCTGCCTCCCAAGTGCTGGGATGTGCCACCACCGCCCTTTTGGTTTTTCAAGACAGGGTTTCCTCTGTGTAACTGCCCTAACTATCCTGAAACTAGCTCTTGTAGACCAGGCTGGCCTCGAACTCACAGAGATCCACCTGCCTCTGCCTCCCAAGTGCTGGGATTAAAGGCGTGCGCCACCAGTGCCTGACTCCAGTTTTTCATTAGCTATTTCATTGGTGTGGAGTAGTCAGATACCAACAGGAGTGGCTCCTTGGGTGTCTGACTCTGGAAGCCTGCAGTGGGTCGGTATGGGTGGCTGTGTGAAGAGTGTTTTCTGTTCTTGGTACAGTATCTGCCCACCGGAGAGTTGGGACAGCTGCAGGCTGGACTTACTCCTTGTTGCTTCAGAACTCACTTCAGTGGCCAGTCCTTTTCTGGGTCTCAGCAGAGCCAAGCCTTGGTATTGTCCTCTCTTGGTGTGCCCAGGCCGGTGCCCCCAGCACGGAGGACACTACCACCTCCCCATCTGCCCCTTGCTCCATGGTGCTGTCTTAGTGTTTTACTGCTGTGAAGAGACACATGCCATGGCAACTCTTATACAAGAAAGCATTTAATTGAGCTTTGCTTACATTTTCAGGGGGTTAGCCCCTTATCATCATGGTGGGATGATGATGGCAGGAAGACAGACTTGTTGCTGGAGAAGTGGTTGAGAGTTTTACATATGAATCCACAGGCAGCAGGAAGAGTCTCTACGCTTGGCTTGGGCTTTTGGAAACCTCAAAAGCCCACCCTAATGATACACTTCCTTTAACAGTCTTTAATCCTTTCAAATAGTGCTACTCCCTGGTGACTATTCAAATATACGAGCCTATGGGGGCCATGCTTATTCAGGACCCCAGCTGTCTGCAGATGGCAATGGCCGGTTTGGTTTTGTGGCTGCCTGGAGGAAATGGGGGAGAAGACCAGGAGATTCCACCAGGAACTGGTGCCTTCTCGACTTCTCTGTGGAGTGAGGTCTTGGTCTGGCCGGGTCCTGCTGCTCCCGCCAAGGAGACAGGCCTTTCTTGACCCCAATCATGCTTCTTCGGGCAACTTCTGCATCCACAGATTCATCCTTGTGCCTTCCAAAGGGGGTCACTAACCAGCAGAGGAAGTGCCCACTGATTGCACAGCCAGCTGGCCATGCGCTGCCCTGGGTCCCATAGTCCTCACCATGTATGCCGCTGAGACTGCTGAGGCTTCATCCCAGCCTGGGTGCTCCTCTTGGGTCACTCCCCATTCTCCTGAGGACATCCATGGCACTGGTGGCCAAGCAGCATCAGCTTGTGTTGGAGGGGGCGGGGCGGGACTTTGAAAAGAGACAGGCTCGGGAGATGTCCAATATGGCTCCCAGGGGACCAGCATGCCCCAAGTGTCCCCATGCTAGTACTAGTCTGCCACAGTCCTTGCCCTGGGGCCTAGGTCAGGGAAGATAAGCAGAGGGGAGTCTGGCCCCGGAGAAGAGCAGAGAGGTCAGCAGACACCAGGTGAGGACCTGCCTACTGCCTGGTGGTCTTTATCCAAGTTGGTGACATAGACCGCCCTGCTGACGTGATTGTGCCTGCATCTCATGCTTGAGGGGTGGCTGTCACCTGTAGTCCACCTGGTCAAGAGCATGCCTTCTGCCACCGCTCTATGCTTCCAGCTTGATGGCCCAAACGTTCTGCCAGCCAGGACTTTGACCCCGCCACAGAACCCTTGTGGCATGCCATGCAGTCAGAAGCATTGAGACAGCTGAGAAACTCTACTCTGAGGCCCGCTAGGCTCTGTGCTCTTGGTCACTCTCGTCCCCCAGGCAGGACCCCTCTGGGGACAGACCATATGTATAAGGGTTCTGTTTCCTGAATAGCATGCCCTGCCCTCTCTGTCTCATACCCTGAGTCCCCTTTGTGTTGATCTTGCTCCTGAACCACTCCTCAGGAGACCCCGCCTGAGGGTGGCCTGAGTGGCAGTTTTGACACTGGGATTTTATTTAGAATGTTTACAGCTAGAGAGTGCACTGAAGTGTACCTCAGAGACCCCAGCTGGACATCAGTGGGAGCTGATAGGAGGTGTGGCTAGAGGCTGGAGTGCTGAGACCAAGAAGCCCAAGTTCAGTAGGCACTCAGCAGGCTAAGGCAGGAGGATCACAAGTTTGAGGCCAGCTGAGACCACACAGTGAGGCCCTGTCTCAAGGCAAATTTAATAAAAAATGTTTTTAAAGCCAAGCTAAGTTGCCTTGGGGCCATCTCCAGCCCTTACAATAATTTAACCCCCACCCTGTCTCTCACCTGCCATCCTTGTAGCTGCCAGATACAACAGCCAGGACTCCTGGAATGTATGCTGAGCCCAACAGGCTCTGGCCTATGCCAACCCTCCGGCTAAGAATGCGGTAACATTCGAATCCTGTAGAGGACTTCTGCCCTGTGAAAGAAGATACCCTGTCTTCGGGAGAGATGTCTGTCTCTTGGCAGAACATTCTACCTACCTGAGAATCCTCCTTGGTGCCCAGAGAACTTTGGCTTCTTTTCAAATCATAAAGGCAGTGGATTTATTATTTTTCTTTATTTTATTAGTAATTTATTGTCAAGATGGTGGATTTATAAAGAGGAAAGTTGTAACGTGTGTTCTTTCCCTCCAGCTGCCTGGGTTCCTCCACTGTCTCTGCCCCCAAATAGCACACGAGACACTATATTAATTATGAAACTGTTGGCCATTTGCTATGGTTTCTTAATGGCTAGCTCTGACTTAATTATTAACCCATAATTACTAATATATATATTTTTAAAAAAAAATAAGGTCTTATTTTACCAAGGACGTAGCCTCATGCGTCCTCTCTTCCCAGGATCACATGGCAGCTCTCTACTCTTGACTTCATTTCCCAGAATCCTTCTCGATTCCTAGTCCCACCTATCTTGCTTCCCTATTGGTCAACAGTGCTTTATTCATCAACCAATAGGACAGCACATACACAGAAGGACTCCCCCATCAGAAAGTTTCTTCTGGCTCATGGTTTTGGAGGGCTCAGCCCATGAGCAGTTGACCTGTGTCAAGGCAGCTCATCAGGGTGGGGTGGAGTGGTAGAGTAGAATGGCCCACCCCATAACCAGGGAAGCAAAGAAAAGAAAGAGGCCAGGACCCCTCAGTGACCTCTGACCTCCCTCCAGGTTCTGCCAAGCCTTCAATACTGCAGCATAGGGTGTGACCCTTACAGAGTCTGTACTATCATAAGTCAATAGGAAGCTTCCTGTCTTCTTAATGCTTAGAAGGCTTCAAACAAGATTAAAATATCGATTTAAAAGGCAAAGGTCAAGCCAGGCAGTGGTGGCACACGCCTTTAGTCCCAGAACTTGGGAGGCAGAAGCAGGTGGATCTCTGAGTTTGATGCCAGCCTGGTCTACAGGCTGGTTCCAGGACAGGTTCCAAAACTACACAGAGAAACCCTGTCTTGAAGAAAAAAGAAAGAAACAAAGATTAGGCTGGGAATATAGCCTAGTTGGTAGTGTTTTCTGAGTATGCACCAGATCCTGGAGTTAGTCCCCAGCGTCATGTGAAACTGGAGATGGTGACTCACACCCATGATCCCAGCACTTGGGAAGCAGGGTCTGAGGATCAAAGACTCTCTTGGCTATACAGCTTAGCAGGAAGCTAACCTGGTCTACGTGAGACCCTGTATCTAAATGCACACATACTTGTGTAAAGGTTAAAAGGCCAGGTGT